GGAAGGAAGGAAGGAGATACATCCAAGCATTTCACTACAGTGGAAAATTCCATATGTTACTGGGAATGGGACTGCAAATTGAGCTTCCTGTATCATAGCATCTCCTTCCCCCGTATACAAATTTGTAGAATAGTCTCACTGTAAATACTATCTATTTCTGGGTTTGGTTTTGTTTTTTGTTGTTGTTATGTGCCATCAAGTCCCCTCTGACTTATGGTGACCCCATGAATGAGTGCTCTCCAAAATGTACTGTCCTCAACAGGCCTGCTCAGCTTTTACAAACTCAAACCTGTGGCTTCGTTTAGGGAGTCATTCCATCTTATATTTGGTCTTCCTCTTTTCCTGCTGACTTCCACCTTCACCAGCATGATGGGTCTTGTCCAGAGGATTATGTCTTCTCATGATGTGCCCAAAGTGGGACAGCCTCAGTGTCAACCTGTTTGCCTCCAGAGATAGTTCAGGCTTGATTTGATCAAGGACCCACTTGTTTGTCTTTCTAGTTGTCCAGGGTATCTGTAAATCTCAACTCCAGCACCACCTTTCAAACAAATCAATATTTCTTCTGTCAGTTTTTCTCCTTTCACACTCATAGATGGTGATTGGAAATATGATAATATTGATGATCTTGGTCTTCATCTCCAATGACACATCCCTACACTTGATGATCTTTTCTAGTTCCTGCATCACTGCCCTTTCGAGTCTCAGTCTTCTGATTTCTTGGCTGCAGTCTTCATTTGGATTGATGATTCAACCAAGCTATGTTGTTGTTGTTTAGTTGTTTAGTCGTTTAGTCATGTCTGGCTCTTCATGACCCCATGGACCAGAGCACTCCAGGCCCTCCTGTCTTCCACGGCCTCCCAGAGTTTGGTCAAAGTCATGTTGGTAGCTTCGATGATACGGTCCATCCATCTCGTCCTCTGTCATCCCCTTCTCCTCTTGCCTTCACATTTTCCTAACATCAAGGTCTTTTCCAAGGATTCTTCTCTTCTCATGAGATGGCCAAAGTATTGGAACCTCAGCTTCAGGATCTGTCCTTCCAGTGAACACTCAGGGTTGATTTCCTTTAGAATGGATAGGTTTGTTCTCCTTGCAGTCCAGGGGACTCTCAAGAGTCTCCTCCAGCACCACGATTCAAAGGCATCAACCAAGCTATACAAAATCTCTAACCACTTCCATTTCTTCATTGCCCATGTCAGAGTTGTGTATTTCCTCAGTAATCATGCTTTTGGTCTTTTCAATGTTCAACTGCAAGTCTGCTTTGACACTTTCCCCATGTCAGAGTTGTGTATTTCCTCAGTAATCATGCTTTTGGTCTTTTCAATGTTCAACTGCAAGTCTGCTTTGACACTTTCTTCTTTCTGGTTTACCTCTTTGAAAAACGGTCTATGAAAGAGAGGGGATAACCCAAGTGACTGAAGCAGAACAGAGAAACCTGTTCTACATGGGGAATAGCCTCAGTAAACATGAGCTAATTGATTCTGGGACCTGATGGGTGGATAGAATACTAAGACCATTAGGCAAAAGTTGGACAGAAATAGGTCTCCCTTCTTCTGCTAAAGCAGTAGATTCTCTGGGGCAGTCAGATTGATCTGGTTGGTAGGAGAGGTTTGGGAAAGAAGAAGAAAAGCACAACATCATACAAGGCCTTCCTTATTGAACCTGGTTACCACACAAAGGGTGTGGAAGGAATGTGAAGCCAATTCATGAAGCTGCATCCACGATCTTCCTTGAAGCTGTTAGTCATAAAGTCACACAGATGACAAGGAGTCTGTATGAAACTTGATGAGTCTTGCAGGGTTCATTGTGATAGAACCGGGAAGCTGAATAGAGGCATGAAGGCAGATCTCAGGAACAGAGATGGGCATGTATTAAAAACAAATTGCAAAATTTGTCAGAGATGGGCACAAATTAAAATGAATTGCAAAATTTGTCAAAAATTGATTATTTGTAAATTCATATTCCTGAATGCTTGTGATCAGTGAAATTGTAGTGATTTTTAAAAATTTGTTGGGCTATAATCCATCCCCTTGGGAATCTAGAAACACCAACATTGCAAAGGAACTCCTTCGACTCTCCTCAACAGTGCCTCCAGGTTTAATGAAGATTGGGTTTCAGATGTCTGAGTTATATCCTACAAAGAGGTCCACCCCAAGGAATTTTCCCCCAGGTACCTAGAGACACCAAAATCATAGAGAAGCTTTCTCTGACTCTCCTCTACAATCCCTCCTCATTTGGTGAACATTGGGTTTCCCCAAACCAACTGCTAAAGTGTACTTTCCTGGGGTGACCCAATTTGTTGGTGTATAACTCAGATGTCTGAAATCCAACCTTCACCAAACTTGGAGATATTGTAGAGAAGTGTTAGTAGAAGCTTTTCTGTGATTTTGGTGTCTCTAGGTGCCTGA